TTTAGGGTTGTACTATTGTTATAAAATTACACAGATTTTATTTTTTTATGGTTTAGTTTCAATTTCGAACGTGGCACAGTTAAAATGTTGATCTTCAATTTTGAGGACCACCCTTATATATATATATATATATATATATATCCAACAATCCAACATACGTAAGCGAAAACAAAACGGTGGAAAAGTAGTAAGAAAACAAAGTATAATTGCCCAGGAATACTCTTTATTGTAGGAGTTCCAATCATGTACTTCAAATTGAACATACCCATACGGGAAATAATCAAATTCAAATAATTGAAAAACTATACATTAATTTTTTGACGATGATTAATTTTTAAACTGACAAGTCATAATATTAGATAGAAATTATGATTATTGAATTTTTTCCTTTAAATATATTATTTTTGATATTGTTATACATACATATTATGGTAGGTGCCAATTTTTTTTTTTAATATATAAATTTTTTTAACGATAGTTAATTAAAACTAAATATTGTGATACCTATACCGAACTTTTTTACCTTCGACTTTTTCCAGATCGTACTATTTAGGCTTCGGACTTTCTTACCGCGATTTTCCTGTACCACTCCACTCCGCCCAATAAAATGCTTTTAAAAGACTCATCAACTACTCGTTTATAAATCGAAGAACTCAAAATTCCAAAAACAAAAATTTTTTTTGAATAAGGAATTAGAAATGCACGTTATTATTTTTTTGTCTTTATTTGCCGTTATATATGTTACCGGCAATATGGATAACTCGGTATTTTGCAAAATACCAAAAATTACTCGGAAACATACATAATACAAGCTTTGCCTAGGTTTTATGTATACCTCCCAACGTGGAGTAAGAAATATGATAAAAATGAACAAAACTGGGTATCACCTATTACCAACGAATTTACTTATAGTGTGTTGTACCTAAATGAGTGTACCGTGTCCGTGTGTGCACGATTTGATGCAATAAAGATTAAAATTCTGAAGTTCTGAAGCAGTTATATGCAAGAAGTCAGTTCACAATATGTCAGAAAAAGCTACTACAAATTTAGGAGGTACCAACAGACACAGAATTGGCGTTACGAACAGTCGACAGGAACTGGCCAATGACTTTTAAAATGTGTTTGTAAGACCAAGTGTCAAAATAAAAAGTGCATTTGCCTAAAAATAATGTTTTGTGCACTTTAAAATGCCATTTTTCTACAACATGTTGTAATAAGTAGCTATTATAGTAGTTTAAGTAAAATGTGTAAATAATAGTACTTAATATAACAATAATATTAATAATATAGCAATAAATATGTATAAAAATATAACAATAGATAAAAATTAAATTTTGTAATATGAGTATAATATATAATAATTATAAGAATCTAAGTATAATATCATAACATATTATGATAAATTATTTTTACTTTGCTTAAAAAAAAATTAGTATTTTACATAACGCTTAGGTATTTTATAAAATAATATTGAAAATCACATGTTTTATTTACATTGCCTTAAATGGGTTGGCAGTATACGTAATGCCTAGGCATTTTTCAAAATACCTGAAATATCCATATTGCCGGTGACATATATATAAGTTTGGATTGTGGCTGTTTTCTCTGAGACACATGTTTATAATGTGATTCCTTGTCATTGGCTTACTAACTTATTAAAGAAAACACTAGTTTATCTACATCATATTGTAAATAACAGAGGTACTCAGTAACAAGCACATATTTGAAAGAAGCTCAAACCCCATGGTAATAATGTAATATTTTTTTACTAAAATTAGTATAATTAGTAAATTAGAATATAAATATTCTAAATTGTGTTTTTCCTGGTCCATTTTTTCAGTTTGGTAAACTTATATCTATATTTACTCACTAATAAGCCTAAAAATTAAAATTTAAATAATTTGCTTTTCACAATATTTTCTATAGCATATCTATTTGAATATTATTATAACATAATTTTGTTACAGGACATCATAACCAATAAATAAATATAAAAACGTTAAAGCCTCATAACTTATTAGTTTTAAGTATTTAATTGTTAAAAATATGTACTAAACCACTTACGGCATTGCTATGAAAAGCATTTATTAAATATATTTATTTAAAAATATGAAAAACTAAACAATAATTTATCTAGATTTTAAAAATCTATTGTAATAAACAAATTAATAATTGACTTATTTGTCAGTTGGTTGAATATACTTATTAATTTATAATATAGTTATAAATTCAAATAGTTACAAATTAGTCGAGGATCATATAAAAAACAAACTGAAGTCAAAAATTGGTGCCTATAATTAATGGGCACAGAAGTACAATTATTAAAAAATAATTTGATTGTTTTATGTATAAACGTGTACATAATGTATCAATATAGAATATCTTTATAGAAAAGTTTCATAAGAACCATTGGTGGGACCAGTTTAAAAACCGATATCATCAGAATCTGAACACAACTCATAATAAACTGTAAGCCATACAATTCTCATGGACTGACAGAGGCAAAAATATTAATACGAGAATAAGAGATTCTGATTTAATGAATTCAATCAAAAGTAATAAATTATAGGTGATGGTTTAAATTAAATTCCAACCACCTATTTGAGACACGACGTAAGTCTATAAAAGGTAATTCGGAGAAAACAAGAAAAAAAACTGTGTTTACGTTATCAGTAAATATTTTTTTTGAAAATGTTCACATATGATTCGTCTATCATTTGATAACACGTTCAACTCAATATCTCAAGTTATGATATTTTGTGACTTACGTCATTTCTCAAATCGTTCATTTACTCTTTATTGTTATACAATATATCCTTTAAAAGTTACACCATTTCACTAGTTTTCAATATATTTTAATTTTGTGCTTTTTAAAAACATTATCCCAATTTCACGGATTCAAAGTTCGAAAAAATGGTTGCGGAATGGTTACGCCATGTTAACATAAGATTTTTTAAAACAAAGTAGTGAACTTTATTAACTATTCATAGCTGTTTTAATTTTTTTATTTATATAAAATACTGTAAGGCCACTGGCCAGACATTACTTAAAACAAGTTTTTATTATGATTTTTCTTGAAGTACATAACTATTTATTTGATCATTACTCAATAAAATTAATTTAAAACAACATCAATAAATATTATTATTTTTTAAACATTAATGCTTAAAATTGTTTAGATTTAAACTGTATAAAATTACACAAGCATTTGTAAGACAAATGTTTTATTGCCCTATGGTATCCAATGATAAATTGCTACTGTTTTACGTTATTTTGTTTAGATAGTAAGCTATGAAAAATATTTTTAATAATAATATAACATTTATTAATATAGTTTTACTGTAGATAATGTTCTGTTATGAGTTTTAAATATACAATAAAATACAACTCAGTTTAATTTAATTATTCTAAAATCACTTTAAATTTCCGAGGGACAACTACAAGGCTTTTCTTGTTGTGTTTATAAAGTGCAATGTCAAATTTAACATTACGCTAACTTCAAAGCGTCAGTTAAATTATTTATTGCAACTGTCCCTGACATATTATAATACTATAATACAATAATAATTGTTATAATAAATAACATAGATAACTGATTAGTAAATGTAGTATAAGCGTAATTAAAAATATATTGTAAAATATTTTAATCCATATAATTCAAATAAAAAACCAATAAAAAAAAATATGTAAAAAATTGAAATACGCTTATATTACCTATATATATATATTTATTTATTTATTATGCCTACCTACGCATCGGGTCTGCATTTTATTTACGTTGCAGTGGTCTCGTTGATTCCACAGTTCGAACTATTCGTTCGTTTAACGAAATAGTATCCTTGAGCGTTTATAAACGTTCAATTATAGTATTATAACTCGTAGTATTATGACTAGGACTGGATTTCGATATAGTTTTTTAATTAAGTAAATGTTAAGAGTATTTTTGAATAGTGGTGTACGACTATATTATGACAAACATTGCTTATACGACATACGTGGATATGATGAAATAATGTTTTCTTTTAAATTGCGTTTAATTTGCATGTTTGTATTTATATTGCATATGTAAGTATGTTGTGAATAAGATATTATGTCTTCTCATCTATAATAAAACTTTTTTTCTTTTTTTCTTTAGGGCATTACATTCTAGTCCACGTACCAACTTATAATAATATCGTATAGTAAAAGGTGAGCGAGTTAATAAAAAAATATTTGCTCGAGTTACAGTAAGGTTAAACTGTAACACGGCAGGGACCTATAGAGTCAAAATTCATAGTCAAGAAAAAATAAATTTTACAATTATAACCATCAATTACAAATAAAAATAAAAATAATAATAAATATGTCACATCAGCAGTATTAATACGGTGCTATTGTATAATTTTTTTTAAGTATTCATTTTTCACAATGGATACTGAAAATATCTGTTAGTATCAATGTGCCAGTACGGTTATTATAAATGTATAACAGCGTGGTTGAATAATAGTGCCTATAATTATATTATATTTATTTGTATGTATTATAGTGCCACCAATATAAAAATATGTGTGCCATTTGCTGCTGTAGGTCGCGATTTGAAAAAAAGGAACCTTGTCGTGTTACCTTAGAACACTTTAACTGCGAGGGTAGGCCACAATGTTGGTACTTAAAAAAACACGATGACTGGTCGAGGAAGAAAAAATAGTGTCAGCGAGTAGAAGGTAAACGGTAGTGGTGATTTGACAATTGCTCATTTGACTCGTTGCTCAAATCATTAAATCTTCCCGGGCTCCAGGTTTAGGTAATACCACAGATATATACTAATACTAGATAGCCGTCTTCTCGTTATCAGTGAAACACGCCGCCATATGCAAAGAATATTACTCGATAAACAAACGTTATCAGATAGGTACATACACTAATATTTATCACTTTATTCAACGACAACCAGACACATTTTGTTCAAATTAAATAATTGTCGTTGGTAAATTAAATTATATTTTATTTTACCTAACTTTAAAATGCCTACTTGTTGCGTTGTTCCAAATTGTAAATCTCGAGGAAGTACTGGTAGCGATATCCACTTTTTTACGTATGTACATCGTAAAATCAAACATTTTTTATGTTTTGAAACAAGAGTAGTTCCCTAAATACAATTTTAAATATTATAACTTTAGGTTTCCAATCAATGATGGAATTCGTTTGGAAAAATGGCTGTTGGCTATAAATCGTCATGGATTTATACCTAAGAAGTCTAGCCGAATATGTAACATCCATTTTTTAAAAACAGATTTTGTTGATAGTCCAGGAGGCAGTTATAAGTTAAAACTTAAACCCAGTACAGTTCCATAAATTTTTCCTGATAGACCTGTAGCATCAAGTAAATAATTATCAACATTTAATAACATATTATGTTATGCATATGTAGTTATTTTAAAAACGCTTGCCAAGTTAGGGATCGGCATGTAAACTTTCTTGATTTTTAATTTTTAGAAATTTATTAGGTAACTGATATCACACTCGGTATAACAATTTGAATCCAGAAAAATGTCAGTGTGAACAGCCCCACAAAATTATTTCATTTAAATTACCATACTTACTTGATTAAAAATCAAGAAAGTAAAAAATTGTATATTATCAACAGCTTCAATATCCAGTAAATCTCCAGTACATCAGTCAGATGTATTAAATACGACGCCAATAACTATTCAATCACCTACAGCAAAACGACCTTTCCTATCATCAAGTGATGATGATAGTAAAGACAAGTCCTGGGTTTGGTCATGGACAGAAACTAAGATTCCAAAAGCAACAAGTTCCCCTGTACTTATTACTCCTTCAAAAAAAATGCGTCCAGAAATTAGTTTCCCTATGTCACCAAGAGTTAAAACTAGTACTCCAACTAAGTACAAAAAACAAATAAGACTGTTGAAACAAAAATTAAGGAGACGAGAAGCTACAATAAGAAACATGAAAGGACTCTTAGATGATTTAAAAAACAAAGGTATAGTATACAGTTTGTAAACGCTAATTGAGAACACTCATAATCCTGATGTAAAGCCCTGCATTTTAATTTCTGCTTTTTTAAATATAATTAGACTTGCTCATGCGCACTACCACTTTTTTTTCTTAAATAGAAACCAACTATTTTAACCACTAATTATTATTTTCCTAATTTTTTAATGCATTTTGGTAGTATAACCAACTTTCTAAGTAATAGAATTTCTCACATATGTGTACTTATTTATTTAATTACGTACACTATGACAAAACCAGGAATGTTGAATGATGATTCAGAGGATATGCTACTTGGTATGTTTGAAGGCATTTCCAGCGATATTTTTAAAAACCAAATTAAAAATGCAGCACGAGCAGCCAAAGGTCGTCGCTACTCCACTGAAATAAAGCAGTTTGCTCTAACGTTACACTATTACTCACCTAAAGCTTATGCTTACTGCCGGTAAATTGCTTGTTTGCTTATTTATTTAATTTATTGTGCATAATTTAATCATATTACTGTTGCTATTTTCTTGAACAAATTTTTTTGCTTATTTCATTTTAAATAGATCCATTCTTAGTTTGCCTAATATATCGGCTATACGGAATTGGACATCTTCTGTTAATGCAGAACCAGGCTTTCTTACTGAAGTTTTTGATGCTTTGAAAACATTATCCCCAGCAGATAAACATTGTAATTTGATCCTAGATGCAATGGCAATTAAAAAGCAAATAGTATGGAATAAAAAAAATGGTAAATATGTTGGATTTAGTGATTATGGTAATGAATTGGATTTAGAAGGAACAAATACGCCTGCCACTGAAGTTTTAGTATTCATGTTAGTTAGTTTAAATGGTAAGTGGAAAGTTCCTGTTGGATATGTTTTTCAAAATAAAATCAGTGCTTCTACTCAAGCTGAACTCATTAACTCAGCACTGACCATCTCACATAATGCTGGACTAAAAGTTTGGGGTGTGACGTGTGATGGGGCTTTTACAAATTTTTCAAGTATGAAAATATTGAGCTGCTTATTCGACAATATAGATAATTATGATGAATTGAAGTGTTGGTTTGACCATCCTATTACAACGGAAAAAGTATTTTTCATACCGGATCCATGTCATATGGTTAAACTTGCTCGGAATACTCTAGGTAATAACAAAATATTGATTTCTAATGAAGGAGCTATTAAATGGAGTTACATTGATCAGTTGTTTGAAGTTCAAAATAAATTATCACTTAAATTAGCTAATAAATTGAGCCAGGTCCATGTTAAGTGGCAGAATAATAAAATGAAAGTGAAGCTTGCAGCACAAACGTTAAGTGCATCGACAGCTGATGCATTGACTTTTTTGAAAAATATGCACATGGAAAATTTTCATAATGTAGATGCAACAGTTACTTTCTGTAGAAACATTAACCGGATATTTGATTTTTTGAACACCAGGAATCCATTTGGAAAAGGATTTAAATCTCCAATATTTCCCTCAAATGTTGATTTTTTGGAATCGGTTGTAGTTCCCATTATACAATATCTATTTAGTTTAAAAATTCAAAACCAATCCAAGAATTTGCAATTTGTACACACAACAAATAAGAAATCTTTTGTTATTGGTTTTGCAATCGCTACAAAATCCATTTTGTCAATCGCGAAGCTTTTATTTCATGAAACACCTCATTTTAAATATATTTTGTCATATAAGTTTTCCCAAGATCATATTGAAATACTCTTCTCAAGATTTAGACAGAAATTTGGTTCAAACAATAACCCAAATACATTACAGTTCAAAACGGCACTGAAACAAATATTAATGAAAAATGCTATTACTTGCAAAACAAATGGAAATTGTAATACTTTTGATAATGACGTGTTTGGAGATTTGTTTGAGTTTAAATGGAATAGAAAAAATAAAAACTTAAATGATTTTGATGAAATAGAAGATAAAATTGATGAAGACTTTGTAAATAGAATGACATTACTAAATAGCTCAAACAAAGCATTGATTGAGGCAAAAGAAAATATTTTATATTATATTACAGGGTACATTGTTAAAAAAGTTTGTAAAATTATAGATTGCAATTCATGCATAACATCACTTATAGAAAATAGAAATGAACATAATTATAGTTTACCACTCAGACACAAACAGTTTGTTCTCCTAAAAAATCAAGGTGGTTTGGTTATAACATCTAATTGTGTATATAGAATAATTAAAGAATCAGAAATTAGTTTCTTATATCATACAAATTATCTTTCAAGTATCAATATTAAAAATTTAGACAAAAAAATTATTAGTCATGTTGTTAATAAATTTGTTTTGGACCGTTCTATATTTAAAGATTTAAGTTGTGAAAATGTTGGTATTTTAGAAAGACCACATAAATTAGTTTTAATAACTTTGCTTGTTAAAAAATTTTTAAGTGTTCGTTTACATTCCTAAGGTAAACAGTTTTCATCAGACTTGTTAAACCCTGTGAGTAAACGTCAAAAATTAACGAAAACTATTCTTTTTTATAATCAATAGTCATGCATACTACTACCTACAACCTACTCTACGTTTATTTGCTAACTGTACAATTTTGTTTTTTAATAATAATAATGTTGTACGTATCTACCTACTTATATTTGCATTACTAATTGTAATTTTTGTTAATAATATAGGTAATTATAATAATGTAGTACCTGCAATTTATATCTTAGTATTTTTTACGATGTTTCCTTGTTTCATAATTCATAAAATATTACGATTTAGTTAAATACCAAATTTATGTATATTAATATACGTACATACTACATAGGTTGTCTTAATTAATGGCTCTATTTAATAATATAAAACATATTATTGAGTTATAAAACAGAGAACTGAGAAATAACAAAATATAGGTAAGTACTAAGTTCTCATTTTTAAATAATAATAACAATAATATACCTACATACAATATAATAAAATAATAAATCTATAATATTAATATGTATTATATAATTGATAATAGTCTAATATTGATAACGTTTGTTTATCGAGTTGTCTTCTTTGCATATGGCGTCGCGTTTCAGCTTATTTTGTTGTGGTGTATTCGAAGACGGCTATCTAGTATTAGTATATATCTGTGGGTAATACTGTAATAGGTGCACTCTGTAGCAACTTAGAATCTACTAAGCTCTGTAAAAAGTATTACGCAATAATTAAGTAGCGGATTTTTATGTTTTTACATATCGTTACTGGGTTTATGCAATCTTGTGAGAACAAAAAATACGGACAATTTGTTCAAGTCTGAGTTCGCAGAACAAAGTTTTTTTGGCATATTTGAGAATATTTCATGGGTTAGGGAATATTTAACCCATTTGGCATATTTTGGAATATCTTGTAAATTGTGAGAAAAATATTTATTTATTATTAATTTTATTATTACGATACCAGAAAAATTATTTTTATCATTTTGATAAAAGGAAATACGCAGTGTATAGGCTTATAGCACTTTATTATAAGTTTCCATGCCGTTCACTAAACATATTGACTAACCTGCAGTTGTTTTCATAATGTATAAAGTATACGATTCTTAAATATTAAAAATTCAAATGTCTAAACTTTGTCTTTCACTTTTCAACTTTTGATATTACATATTTTTACGTGTAGGTTGATTGTTGGTTTTTGAAATGATAGTATCCATTATATAATACTCAAGTATATGCCTCACTATTAATAGAATATTGTAAAAAAAACTTAATAACCGACCACGACTGGGTGAAATATATTTTAATAGAATAGAGGTGACCGAGGCGGCGGCTGATAGATTCTGACTGGAGAGATGAATGCATAATATGGATCTGCAATAATATATATTTTACCTACCTGCCAATTTTAGATTCTGAGGGGAGCGATTGTATACAACGATGTGTGTGTAAGTGTGTTTATTTTGTCCATATTGTGTTCGCGATATTGCTTAGGCAGTAGAAAAAATTCTGGTAGAAAATTATAACTCATTAATTACTACTAGGGCTCGGAAGTTGAAATATTTTGCATTTTTTTTTTTAGTTGATGTAGGCATTAATCTATCAAGCTAAAAATCCGATTAAGATAGTCTAGTAAAATAATCTGAAAATTTTATTTTGCATTTTTTTTGCCTTTTGTGGGTTTATTTCTCATAGATATCATTTTATCACGTTCCTACATTTAAAATTTTTTTTTTTCAATAAATACGTCCTTTTTCTGAAACGTAGCGAAGTTTTCTCATACATATATTTAATGCTTAATTTATTTTTCATTATATGTGAAAATTTCATAAAAATAAAATCTTACTTTAACTTTTAAATATAGCTTATTCTTGCCAGTGTTACGAAAATAACTAGGTACACTAAAATGACTGGCCGTGGTCGAGCTGTTTAACTCGGAATGTTTGAAATAAGGTATATTTAAAGTTTATAGTATATTTATATTTATAGTCATATATTATTGTAAACAATAAAATGATTATCTTGTATAATATAATTTAGTATTCGACTATCTCGTGTAGCGCGTTGTTGTCCTGTCTAAAGAATTCCGAAAAATAAAACTTCGACTAGTGCTTGTTTACGTGAGTTTGTGTCAGAATTCGGAAGTGATATTTTTTCAACTGCTGGATATATACATTTTGTATGTACAGTCAAATTCGCTTCCATCTTCTAGGGACCTAGGGAATCTGAAAAATCAAAAAATCAAAGTTTACTAACACTACCATCCAAAAAATTTACATTTAATTATGATTTGTGTCAAGACCTTTTATCAGCTAATATTCCACTGAGAAAATTATCAATTGACTGTTTTCGTGACTTTTTGGAAAAATATACAAGCAAGAGTATTCCCGTCGAATCGGCATTGAGAAAATCGTATGTTGCCCAATGATAAGAAAAAACAATGAACAATATAAAAAAGTGAAAATCAAAAACTGTGGATTTCTATCGACGAAACCACTTATGTGGAAGGCCGGTACTTCGCTAATGTAATTATTGGTACGTTAGAAATGCCCAGGAAAAATATTTTTACTTCACACAGAAGCACTGGAAAAAGCTAATCATACCGGAGTTGCTAAATTATTGGATAAAGCACTTCATCTTTTGTGACCTCAAGGGATTAAATACGACAATATTGTTCTGTTTTTGAGCGATGCAGCTTTTAGTCAATTAAGAAAGCACAAGACCTGGACGATTGTGATTTGAAAAGTGACTTGATATCCATTTACTGTGATTTTGGAACATAGAGTGATTCTATAACTCAGTTAGAAACATTCTTCACCATTCGATAAAAATTGTATAAGATGTAGAAAATTAAATTAAACAAGCAGAAAATAGAGTGGGACAAGATATAAAAAAAATTAAAATCCGTTTAAAATACGGGTTTTAAAACATTGACAAAAATTTCAAAAATTTTGAATGGTGAAAAAGTGTCGAACCAAAACTTTCCAGACGACCTCAACAATTCCGATTTTGCTAATTTTCAATTTGCATCAATTACAACAGTAGACGTGGAAAGGAGTTTCTTCATTCAAAAACGAATATTGTCTGTAGAAACTTGAACTTTTCACCAAATGTTTATATTAATCTATTGTACTTTCTTACTTGTGTTTTAATTTTCTAAATATTTTTGCCCTTCTTGAGTTATATACAGATGTTTCAAATTTTAAATTTTTCTTTCTATACATTTTCGATCAAAAAGTTGGATAACAAGCTTGAATATGGAAAAGGTTTCTCATAACTTGATATTATAGCTATTAAAAAATACATAGCACATATTTTTCTTATAAGCATTTGAAGTACAAATTTTGATAAAATTCATAAAAATCACGAAAATGTTCAAATTATTTTATAGTTAAAAATGTATAAAATGTTAATTATTATAGCTAAGGATTGAATACGTATTGCAAATTTCATCATGAGTAGTTCATACTTCATATTGTGACCAAAAACTAAAAATATATCTGCCAAGTTTTTTTTATGGATATTTTAAGTTGAAATTTGGACGAAATTTAGAAAGAATAACGATTCTATTCGGTATTTTGTTGTAATTTAAAAATATTATTTGTGGGTATCGAAAACTTTTAACTTATAAAATATTATATACATGAATTTTAAAATGTAATGTTATGTTATGTAAAAATTAATTCAACCTTCTGTATCACTGATAGTAAAATAAATTAAGTAAGTACTTTAAAAGTTATATAAATATATCATAAAATATATTTATTAATGTAAGTTGATAAGACCGTTTTCGATCAGAATTATTTTCCCGTATTCAAACTGGTATGCAATGATAATTATCATTGATTTCAAATTTAACACATACACTAAAGTGATTAATCAATTCTGACGTACACTCGAAAGTTGACACATTTTGTACAGTAAAACGGTTACCAATACTTAACACCTTCTTTGTTGATGTTTGAGGGGCATCTTTAGGCTTTAGAACCAATAAACATTCTTCAATTTTCCATTTTGAGGGTTGTTCTAGGAAGAACATTTTTCCTAGTTGGTTCTTTGGTGTGTGGAAAGTAAAAAATTCTCAGGAATATTTATAATAATTAGAGAAAATAGAAGTTTCAACCATAGCTAGTTTTCATCAAAATTGTTTTTGTTGTTTTGTATTTATTAAAAAATTAATAACAGTAGGTTCAGAATTCAATTTTTCACCAATTATTTATAATAATATTTTTTAAATATGATAAAATTGTCAAATTATTTTCTCTCTTTTTGGACTATTTGTAGACATTTGAAGTTTATTAATTGTATACTTTTTTTTAGCCATTTATTGATTTATGCATTATGATATTTTTGGTTTTTAAAGTACAGAATATCGTAAAAAAATTCATCAAAATCAACAATATTGAAAATGTATTTATGATTAAAATTTATAACTTATAATATTTAACAATCTTATAAATGTTCCTCATAAGTCCTTAATTACCTAATTTTTCATTTTAATCTCTATACTTACACTTCGTATACGATAAACATGTAGGTACAACCAATCTTTTACGCCAAACGTTAGTGTAGAGATAGGTAACGCACGTTGATGTAACAATAACGCCAGCTCAATTGTTGGCCAACAGGACCAGTTCTACATACGCGAATTTTACGTTCAATTTCGCGAACAAGCAATAATAACACACACACAACAATGTGCGTAACAGCTGTGTGCAATAACCTGATTTTGGTTGTTCGATAAAATTATATTATTTCGATAAGATTTCGCCCTGGAGGCACACGCCTCAGACGCCGGGATAGCGCAATCCTGGTATAATATTATGGCGATCGAAACGTACTTGGCCCCACCTATCCAACAGCCCTCGACGGTAGCCGGCGAAGACCGAGTCAGGCGCAATGCTGGTATACGAGTAGGTATATAAGCCCGACTGCCAGCCGTTAGAACTTTACATTCAGTCAAAACGTTCAGTGACTTCAACGCGCTCAACGACCCAAAAAAATCTTATTTATTCGCCATGGCATTCCAAGTGAGTACACCACATGTTGTTATTTTTTAAATTATGTTTTTTGTTTCGTCATCCTGCAGTCTAGAACGTAAAACAAATTCTCTGGTATCTAGTGATTCTAAGACTCGCACTAAAATCAAATTTCTTTTTCAGTATATAACAATAAGTAGGTCAATAGGAATATTTTACAAGATGTTAGATAAATTATATTTACTTAATATCTATAAGTGTCGTAGCAGATAGATCTCAGGTTTAGAAATGCTCACATAAAGTTGTGTAACAGTTTTCTCACCTTGTTTTTTATAGCTTAGGTCATTAAATTATATTATTTAAATTAATTGTATTCAAATAAAATTGTTTCAAATTTCAACGGTCTTAAACCATATTTTAATTAATATCAATCATATTGATGTATTGGTTGGATGGAAATTCTATCGATAACAATAATATATTCTATCATCCTATCGTCCACCTTTAAACACGGTTTTATTGATAACAAATTTATAAAGATGGTTTCTAAAAATCCGTCTTGTAATTCTGAGATTTCAACGTAAACGGGCGGATTACAGGCGTACAAATTTAATATATAAATCGTTTATCATCTTAAACCTTGCAGAATGACAGCTACATAAATAGCCTATTTCGATTATAGTCACGTCGGCCAAACCGGACATTCGGCTGCACTTATAACAATTACCATCCCGTCGGCGGCACGTGCAGGCTCCAAGAAAATATATAATATTATATAATATTTGTCTAATTATTGATTAGTTGGGGAGTAATAGGATCTATATAAATTCAAATAATACTTAGTGTTTCGCATCTGCAATTGGTTTAATCGTACCGCAAAGACACCAACTATACAGAGTGGACCACTAGACCAATACAAGAAAATCTCGATTGACCACAGAGTATAGTGCAGTATAATTCTGATGTTTCGATATAATGTACTGCAATGTACCTTGCTGATACCACCCTCCAGACTGTTCCACATAATATAAATTATATAATATTAATCGCTGGTATACATAATAATATACATGTCCTAAAATAATAAGCGTGTACTAAGCACAAGGCTTATAAAACTACAAAGTTAAAAAAAATTTTTTAAGGAAACGTAAAATGAATATTAATATGTATTTTATCATTTTATTAATAACCTAATAACCGAATTGGCTCAAAAGCCAAAAAAAATAAAATTGTCTACAAACAGAATAATTTGTTTCATCGCTAGTACTAGCTATATAATAGTATTATTTATATAAAAACATAATTATTATATTGTTCAATTTCGCATTTCAGACCGTCGCCGTCTTCGCCTGCGTGCTCGCCGCCGCACTCGCCGCCCCAGCCTACCCGACACCAGCTGCTTACCCAGCACCGGCCGCCGCCTACCCAGCACCCGCTGCATACCCAGCACCAGCTTACTCCGCACCCAAGTCTTACGCCCCAGAACCCGCCTACGCCCCAGCCCCGTACAACTTCGAATACAGCGTGCACGACGATGCCACATACGACATCAAAAGCCAGTCCGAATACAGCGACGGCAACGGTTACGTCAAGGGATCCTACAGCCTGGTCGAGCCCGATGGCACCAAGAGAATCGTCGAATACACCGCTGACGACTACAACGGTTTCGTCGCCGAAGTGAAGAAAGAAGGCACACCGTCTTACAGCTCCGCCCCGGCCTACAAGCCAGCGTACAAGGCCCCAGCCTACCCAGCGGCCCCAGCCTACCCATCGGCCCCGGCTTACCCAGCAGCTGCCCCAGCCTACAAGCCAGCTTACTCCGCCCCGGCTTACTCCGCACCAGCCTACTCTGCACCAGCTTACTCCGCACCAGCTTACTCCGCACCAGCTCCAGCTTACGGATACTCCACCCCCGCCCCAGCTTACGGATACTCCACCGCCGCCCCGGCTTACGGACACGCCGCTCCAGCATACAAACAATCTTATGCCGCCCCAGCATACAAACAATACTAATTTATAATAAATTCTAGAAACAAATAATTTATTATATTATTATGTAAATAAAATATCGAATTGTCAACTACCAAAATTTCTTAAAAAACTTTTTTTTATTTGAAACATTTTACCTAATCGTCCTGATTATACCGCACTGTCTTATATACTTTTCAATCAAGGGTCCGATCAAATATACCTATATTTGGACCCAGGTGAAACCAAAATTAAATGTACAGAACTGCAGTTGTTTACCTACTGATCGCTGACATGGCGTTTTTATGGTTAGTATATATTGCAAGATGAGAAACGTTTATTTTTTTTTTATCTATAGGTTCCATGTATTAATTAACAGATTAACGTGGGTGTTCATACAGCGATAAGCAGATTGAATAGGTCTGCAGGTATCAATGAATGAAAAGAGTTAAATCCAAGATGAAATGCATCGCCCCTTAAACGAAAAACCGTACACCTCTTGTAGATGTGATAGGAATACGCAAAAGAAAATGCGTCATTTTTCTTGAAATAAAACAACTCTACAGCAGCCATTGATTGCATTAATTGAGTGTATAGGTATCATACATTATACGTACTTAGAGGTTATTTGTTCGCCTTTGACTCACCACGAGTTTCGAGTCTACACTCTATAGCCTTGAACTGTGGTTTGATAAATTATTACTTATTATTTAATATAATATGAGTACAGGTAGCCATTTAAGTATATCAGATATAGGAGTGCCATATTTAATATTAAAAATATATATTGTTTCACAAAGTAATGAGTAAATACCTACCAATGTTCACGTGTTCTATTTTTCAGTCAAATAGGCAATTATTCACGATGATTATAGACAACATTAAAAAATCAACGGTCATCTCACATCATTTGAAAATTATTTGCTTAATAAATATTATTGAAGTGACATTGACATACATATTGTAAATATTTCACCAAGGTGAACAGTATATTAATATTAATTACCAATTATCACAGCATACGCACCACTTAGTCGTCGATGAACACCTAGTTAAACAATAAATCGTATTTAAAAGACTGACTAAGTGTACCAAGTCCATAAGCTATGGATAACCGTAAGATTCATATACGGTTCGTATACACTATACAGTCATAGGTATAGTCATAACAAAAAAACGGGTAAGCAGATGTCGCTCTGCTGTACATTAGAAGTCTAGTTTAGTAGACTGTAATAAATTGATGTGTTAAATTCTGAGCAAAGACGGTCTGTCAGCATATAATATTTTAAGTAGGTATATTAATAGGGCAGAATTTCCAGCTCTAAAAAATCACCAAATATGCACTAAAATGTGCAAAATATGTATTTAAAATATGCATTAAAAAATAAGATTATTTGTATGAATATATTTTATTTAGCTGATTTTGATGTCTGCGACGGACGTCTCTGTGAACTGTATTTATAATATCTTATGCAGTGAACAATATCTGTTCATAAATAAAATTAATAACCAGAAAATAAATCTAATCGGCAATCCTCGAGACGTGTCTCTAGGAAAAACATGCGTGTGGGAACAGTCAACAACCATATTAATATGATCAAAATTTAAAATAATTTAAAATTCAACATTATTTTAATTTTATATTAAATATTTAAATTAAATAAAATATTGATAACAAGATAAATTATTGAAAATATGCATCTTAACGTATAGAATCGAAGAAATATGCACTAAAACCAAATAAAACTCAGAATATGCATTTATATGTAAAATAAAATTTAAAAACTAGCCTTCTTTGAGCATGAAGCGTATTTGTTTCTTACTCTGCTATTTTTGTGATCGTGCAAAACAAATATGCAAATGCTACAAATCCTCAACCGTACATATTAATAATATTATTGTGATAACAGTAATTTATTTTACTATACTATATAATACTCAATAGTATTAATATTGAATATATAATATGCACTTTTAATATTTTTCAACTGCTATTGTAACAATATATCAGGAGCTTTGTATCAAATTTTCAAACTTTTTGACCCAACAAATAAAATTTTATTGACATTTATAGAAGAAAAAACCTAAAAGAAATGAAAATTGAAACTGTATATAAATGGCTCTAAACAAGTTAAAATATTTTTTAATTTTATCTTGTATAGAAAATAATAAAATAAACAGTTCTTGAAAATTTTGAACAACCACAGTTAATAGTTTTTGAAAAACAATAGAATAAGAAAATCGTTTTAAGAGATTTTGTAAACTATACAATGTCTAACTTCAAACGCTCGTAAAAAATTAATTTAAATTTCAGTGAACTTTTTTTTTGTTAACTGTAGGAAAACTTAAGGGAAATTTTATATTAAATTGTCGAAACTTAGGTATAAATAGAAACATTTTCATGAATTTCTAACTTAAAATAATTTGTAAATTTTCGTGATTTTTAAAATTTCTTGTCAAAATTTGAACTTCAGAAGCTCATAAAAAATTATTATTTATAACGATAAAATTTTTTTTGATTTACATTTACGATAACTTATGAGAAACCTTGTATTATATTTTAAAGTTTTTGGACTGAGTAAAAACTTTTTTATTGACATTAATTTAAAAAAAAAAACTAATAATCGAACATTTTATATGGCTATAAATGACTTAATATGAATCAAAATATTTTTGAAATGTTCTGGTTTATAGAAAATGGCAAATGCAAATATAATCATTCAGTAAAAATGTCATTTATCTACAGTCATTTTTTTAAGAGTTACATCATAAACCAAAATTGATTTTTTTCTAGTGAAACGAGTTTTGGTGAAAATAACAAGTATGTGGAAATGTCCTGGAATCTAGAATGTTCAAGAAGGATTCTATTAATATTTAATGTATACCAAAATAACTTAGCAATGTAAAATAAAATGTTTCATTGAACACTTAGAATCATAAATAATTTTTCCAATGTTGATACTACTTAATACTACTAGTATACTTTGTACATGAACTTTTTAACAATGACTTATCGAGTTTATGATTTCTTTGTTGAAATACAGTTTTTCACTGTTCATTTGATAGGTTTTTTAGGTATTTGATATTTCATTCATGTTATTTTAAAAGTAGCAAAAATGATCACATTGCTTATCTTAAATTTGAGTAATTTCGTATTGTCACTTTTGAAATAGAGATAAATGTAGCAGAACAATTTTCTATCACTAATATTTAAACCTATAATTTTGATGAGTTATATTTAATTGAATTTTATTGTGCACACAAGAAGATTACAATATATTATATAATATAATGTTAACTCTTATTATAAATCCCAGTTCATAAAAAATTAACGTAGATACTGTGAATATAATTGAGTCTTACAACAAAACTTCATAAAATTTAAATTGTTGAACTAAATTAAAAATCAAACATGGAAAGTTTGTTGTTATAACAACATTCCTATTTGAATTCTAATAATAAGTAGTTTTAATTTTAAGCTAATTCTGAAGAGAGAAGTTGTAAATAATGGTGACTGGCAGGATACAAACATGCCCCCTGGCCCCAACTAATTTATAGATCACTATTCTATCAGCAAACACATATGGTCACCACCTTATTTTTAGAACACTAATCAGTTATCAGTGATAATATATTTTTATAATCATTTTCAAAGGTTATACGTAACGGAGCATAAGTCAAGTCAAGTATAAACATCTATTGGATCTCACTGTAGACTAAAATATTACACATATTATGTCTGTAGTCTTACAGAAAAATATATAAAAGAATAGGTACCTAACTTAAACGTTACACTGGCTACATAACTGTTTGAAGTCTTATTGGAAAGTTATTCTAACAAACAAATAATAATAATTGTTGCCCAAACTTTTTGAAATGACACTTCTACAATAATAGTATAGCACTTCCAATGGACGAGAACAGAGCTATATTCGCATAGGTGTGTCCATAGAACAAATATAGGTCAATAATTAAAACGCTGCTGCTCATATTTTAGATAAAAATCAAATCAAAAGAAAATAATGAATAAATCTTGGGTCACAATCCAGAAATTCGGTCGTTTGAGAATCGTCTGTTTTAACAATATACTAAGGTTGAACCTTAGAACTTAAAAAACTGGCTGCATCCTAATCCCATGCCAAAAAAAAAGTCCAACTCGGAGGGGTCTGTCCGATGGCACACTGTGAACCACATGTTTATTTATGATAGCATGCACTTATGTACACAACTTAAACTTTTATTTGTACTTTCTTAATTTAAAATTTAAAATACAACAATGCTTTTCCAAATCTTTAATTTATTATCATTATTATATTGTAAAGTCATTTTTCATTTTAATTTAGGCCTGAATAATTTTAAACTATTCCCTCTTTAATATTAACTGTTTTACAAATTACTGTTACTATTATTATATTATGATTCAAAAAAAGATGTTTCCGGTATTAACATTATTATTATATATTTGCCATATTTGCCATATTGACATATTTTATTATTATGAACTATCGTCTTAATTATTTTCTTATAATGAACTATGGTCTTTATTATTTTATTATTGTTTATTAATATTGTATTGTAAAATATTTGTACCTAACTATTATAATTGTAATATTGTATGTGCGAAATGTCAACAAAAAAACTCCGCCAAATTTTAAAATATAATAATTTATTTGAAATAGGTACCATGTAAAAATATAGAATACATTCACTTGATTACCCTAAACGGCCTAAACTACAAAAGTGTTATCTAATATTTATTATTCACAGTTTCACCTGCTACAATATTTATATATTTCGTGGTAATGTAACAAAAGACCGTTCCTTCAGTGGAAATGTAAGTTATTTAGTTATTTTAGTCGGACAGACCCCTCCAAGAGACGGCATGCAATTTGGACATTCCAATTTATATTTATGTTTTTGGTATGCAATTTGGATGCACTGAAAAAACTTAATTCAACTTTTTCAACTTGGTTCAATTTAATAATAGTAGGTGATTGCTATAACGTTTTTAACGTTTACAATTAAGTTACCTAACTTAATTAACTCAATTAATTTTTTTCTATGAATTTGGCAACATCGCAAACAACATTTACAAATAATATTTGGAAGGCAGTTTGCTTGAAGTCTATATCGACTATATCGTATTACCCGTATTTCGTCAATAAACGAAACAATTGGTCAAAATGCGAATAGTTAGTTTCTTACTCCTTAAATTTTAGCAAAACATCGGTGACGTGAAATGTCGAATATCGAAATATCTACTCGAAGGTATAACTTACTGTAGTCTGTAAGTCAGCGGCGATGATCAATATTAAAAATTCGATTTGTTTATAAAATAATACTCCACTGGGCACTGACCCACACGGCAATAAAAATCATACATGTGTATACAATAACCATAGACGTATAAATAAATATAAATATTCATATGGCTGTTTGTAACACAAACTTCTATGACTACTTGTAGTGTGATAATATTATGTGTAAGTTCTTAAACAAGAAAAAATTCGGTAACGGCCGCCATAAGTAATTTACCGTCTATAATATGGAGTTAACTGGTGTCGTAAGCAGTTTACCATAACATAATTGTAGGGGGAGGATATTTTAAGACATTTTTACTAAGCCACATAGTAATATAGGTATATAGGTAATAGGTATATAGGTTAATAAAGGTAGTTATGGTCATATATTTAGTCTTTTAATATTTTAAGAAATAAAAATAAAAATTGTATTAAAGGTGTCCACTTTAGTGGGCAACGGAAAAAAAGAAATACTAATAATCTATCTACTCAATTATTATTTTATACCAAATAATTTTTTTTTCTACATTTTAGGTTAATCTATCATTTTTATATTATTTTTCGGGGAATAATAATTAGACATACAATAATAAATAAATCAATAAATAATAAACATATTACTGTAACTTGTTTTATGATAAACTATTTAAAATCAAAATTATAAGTATTTTTCAAACATAATTTTTATGAGCATACATTTTTACCACAAGTATTTGGTGCATAAACGCACATTTGTTTTTTAAGAACATACTTTTCGTGATTTTCGTGATTTTCAAGAACCTTATTTTTAAATAGGTTCCTAAATTTGTAGTGGACATTTTGAGTTTCGACCGACTCTATATTTGTTTATACTATTTGTTCGTGTTTTTTGTTTTCTTTTTAATAATATTTTATGGAACATGCTTTTCATACATTTATATTTACTACAGTATACTTTAATAATTTGCATAAACTTTACTTTCGTATTTTTTGGTCGTCATTTACTTCAGTGTAGTAACTACACTATTGAGCTATATACGTCATGTATATATAGCTATATACGTGACTATTATCATTATTTTTTTTTTAATCATTACAAATTACACAAATAAGATACTAAATTTATTTACACGATTATCTATCTCTTTTATTGGTGGAAATTGGAGGGGGGCTTAGCGGACTTAGTCCTCCAAAAGTTATTGCAAAAGTATAGACATTTTGTAGTTTCATTTTCATATAATATACTTTTAAAAAAGAACAAATTATTTATTTATGTGTTTAGAGAAATCATTGGAATGAATATGTTAAATTTGACATATGTTGAATTATTTAGATCGGTTATTAATTATTAGTGTATCCACACAGCATTAATACTGAAAATATTAGTTTTTTCACAACATTTTATAATTTCCCTTCCTACTTTATTCATACTTAGGAGTGACAACTTTTAGTGTGGTTAAAATGTATTTGTTTTTTTATACTTGATTAGGTAAGTATATAATTAATAATTTTAAATTGAAAATAGAATCAATATAAAAAATATATTTATATGGTCATTTGGGAATATAATGCATTTTAAAAGAGTAATAACAGACCAACAAAAAAAATATATCAAAATAATTGAAAATATTTTGATCATATATTTGTTTTATATATTCCATATATAGAAAATTACCATTTCCCAATTTCCTTAAGATATAATTTAGGTGAATTTTCTGTTAAATTAATTTCAAGCTCTTCTGCAGTGGCTTCCACACAGCTTACCTCAAAACAAAACTGGTTTCGACGGGGAAACTGATATCTGTATGTAGGTATAATAGCCGCGTAGGTATTTAATATACCCACTTGCGATTATGGCTATCAAGTCGAGTAAAAGTAAGTACCTACCTATGTAATATTTCGCAATGCATTATACATCCGTCATTATGTATTCCGAATGTCATTAGTTTTATTAGAGTTGGCAAATAATAATAATTGTATTAAGTGCTTAATGAATAATAACATCGACAACGTTAGCTATCCAAACCGAATTATGTCCATTTTACATTTTTACCATCATTACCGATTAAAAAAACAAAATTAGAGTCACTCGAACTGTTTTGGTCTTTTTCTAATAGAGCCCAACACATTTTGAGTAGGTAATATTATTGCAGTCGACACACAATATTTTAATTTCCAGGCACTTTTAAGAATGTACAAATGTGCCTACCCCTGCAGTGGTAGAGAATATGACTGAATGATATCATTCGCCATAAATGAATTACAAATTAATTGAAATTACTTTTAAAACGTTTTTATAACATCTTGCGGTGGACAAAATTAGTAGATATAACAATTGTTACTAACCATTAACCAACGTTATATAATTTTTACAATGTCAAACTCCAATCACATCCAAATAATGTTCTAGTTTCCTCTATATGTATATACATTCTAACCGACAAACCCGTTTCCAGTCTAAATGGCTGTTGCGTAAATACGTCAACGGCTCAACTAACACAAACCCATAATAAATAATAATCAAAATAATCAAGTTACTTAACAAGCAACTTAATTTTAAAAGACGAATACATTTTGAAAAAAATTGCTATTGACAAAATCATAGCAAAGTAAATCTATTATATAATATAAAGTTATAAGAATATACGATTTTCAAACAAAGATTTTGTTAATTCCAAAAAATCATGACAAATGCACAATAAAAACATAGGTACTCAAATTTAGAAGTATAACAGATAAAGTTCTGGATAAAAATTAGCAAATGATTCAAATGTTAAAAAAAAAACAATAAAAAGAATAAAAATGTAGGTATGTACCTATACAATTAATTTTCTGGTCAAATGATGGTATACATTTAATATTTCAGACATTTTTAGTTAAGAAATTATTGTTTTTAGAACTTAGAAGAAAATTTTAAAATGCTGGTAGAAAACTCTTAACACTAAACACTGTTAGGTATTTACGGTACACGCACACCAATTTTCCAATGGATCGATTTTGATTATTTTGTTGTAAATCAGAAAGACAGAAAGTATGATAATTATTAATGTAAACCCAGTGACTTGACATTTTGATATACCTACCTAATACAACATGTAACACAAAATAACTCCTATTCCTATAATACGACTACTTATACATTTTATTCTAGAACTGATTTTTTTTTTAGGTTTATTCAGATTGTAAGTACACCGGGTCTTTTTATGATTTGTGTTACATGGTTCATTTTATTGAACTTTAACTGCATCTAAACCATTTCAACACTAATTTTAATTATATTTTTAATAAATATTAACGTTTAAATTATGGCGACGTTTATAGTGAATTACGACGATTGGATTTAATTGAATATATCACCATACACATGTTTACCATGGTCAGGTAATAAGTGTAGATTTATTTTAAGTACGGTTCGTTCGATTTGTGAATTCCAATGCAAGGTTACGATACCGGGAATACGCCCCGCTATGCCATTATACTATATTGTTGTGAATGGTCACCGTACCACCAAACACCCAGTCAACAGCCGCCGGCGGTAAACACGCTCGGATAAGCGTATATATAAAGCCAATCGTCGACGATAAACTTTACACTCAGTCAACGTTTAGTGAATCAAACACACTCAACAACCAAAAAAAAATTATTTATTAACCATGGCAATCCAAGTAAGTGTTCCAAAGCTTTTTATATTATTCTTAACTATATAATAAGTTAGGTACCTATAACTAACATAAGTAGGTATGTTATTATTTTTTTTAAATTATTTACCTAAGTACGTTTCTTTAAACACTTCATCATAAAAATTGACACAATAAAGTCTAACGCATTAAACGACATGCCTGTAAAAGTGATTTTTGATTTAACACGTCATTAATGGCCGTACTTGGTCATTTTTGACAAAACACAACGCCACTGTAGATAAATAACGTTTGTCTTTCGTGTTTGATTCAGTTCAATCTTATTTTTTACAATAGTTATTTGAAATTAAACTGTAGGTACCGGAATATCATATTATACAAGTTTTATTACAGCCAATAGGTAATACTGCAATAGTGATTCGTCTATTCTCGAAGAACCGTATATAAGTTATAACGAAATATTAAAAAAATAATGCCCAAGTTCGAATACGTCTTTTCCGAAGATAATAATCGTAGTCACACTACCATAATAGAATTTGGTCCTTCAGCTCGATTTATAATTACAGGGCAGCGGCCGACCGCGAGAAAGTGATTCAATTAATTAACGTTATAGACATTACCTACTATACATACTTAATAATTAGAACGTCGTCTAACCTTGTACCTACCCTAAAATGTATAACTATAATCTATATCATATCAATTTTACATAACTGCAATATTAAGGTACCTTAATAATATTAATGAAATCACGCAATACCTACTATATTCCCATAACAGACAGGATAATGATTAAAATCTATTAAACCGCAGTAGATACACTACATAATATAGCCTATTGTCGGTTCAAATAAATTGTTAAGGTCACCGTCCGTTAAGTTAAAAAGACAAAAAATATGAATCTATGCATTATAATAGGATAAGATAACAATAATAACATATTACATAATATTATATGTATCTTGTGGCAAACACCCAATAGTATCATATTAACTTGTGCCGTTCTCCTGTTGCAGACCGTCGCCGTCTTCGCCTGCGTGCTCGCCGCCGCACTCGCCGCCCCAGCCTACCCGACACCAGCTGCTTACCCAGCACCGGCCGCCGCCTACCCAGCACCCGCTGCATACCCAGCACCAGCTTACTCCGCACCCAAGTCTTACGCCCCAGAACCCGCCTACGCCCCAGCCCCGTACAACTTCGAATACAGCGTGCACGACGATGCCACATACGACATCAAAAGCCAGTCCGAATACAGCGACGGCAACGGTTACGTCAAGGGATCCTACAGCCTGGTCGAGCCCGATGGCACCAAGAGAATCGTCGAATACACCGCTGACGACTACAACGGTTTCGTCGCCGAAGTGAAGAAAGAAGGCACACCGTCTTACAGCTCCGCCCCGGCCTACAAGCCAGCGTACAAGGCCCCAGCCTACCCAGCGGCCCCAGCCTACCCATCGGCCCCGGCTTACCCAGCAGCTGCCCCAGCCTACAAGCCAGCTTACTCCGCCCCAGCTTACTCTGCACCGGCTTACTCTGCACCAGCTTACTCCGCACCAGCTTACTCCGCACCAGCTCCAGCTTACGGATACTCCACCCCCGCCCCAGCTTACGGATACTCCACCGCCGCCCCGGCTTACGGACACGCCGCTCCAGCATACAAACAATCTTATGCCGCCCCAGCATACAAACAATACTAATTTATAATAAATTCTAGAAACAAATAATTTATTATATTATTATGTAAATAAAATATCGAATTGCCAATACAAAGTTTTATTTATTTTTATATTTTTAATTGGTATTACCCTCACAGTTACAATGACTGAAATCTGAGTTATTGGTGTTTGAGGTAAAGCACTACATTACATTAATTGTAAGCACTTGTTTTTAGATGTTCGCGGACTGTAAGCAAAACCGATTTTATACAAAATCGATTTGGTTTTTGATGTAACTCTAGAACAAATGACTATAAATGTTTGAAATGTTCACTAAATGTTTATATTAGCATTTTCTATACACGATAACATTTTCAAAATATTTAGACTTGTTTTGAGCGGTTTACAGACATTTTCAGTTCCCAATTTTTTTAGTTCTTTTTTCTATAATGTCAATAACATTTTATTCGTTGGATCTAAGAGTTTGAAAATTTATTACAAAGCTCCTGATATATTGTTATAATAGCAATTGTAAAATATTTAAAGTGCATGTTTCTTTTTATACACTTTTAAAGTTCAAATTATAACAAAATGTACTAAATTGAAAATTTGCAAATTATTTTGGAGTTAAATATTTATAAAATGTTCAACTTTTATAGCTAAGGATTGAAAATTTAAAATGAAATTGTACACAAGTAGTTATTGCGGTAACCGTAAAATCCAAAAAATAAACATTGTTTTTTTATAGTTATTTTATGTTCAAATTTGGACGAAATTGCATATTAAATAACCAAGAATAATGATTTATGTCACTTTGTTTATTTAAAAATATTATTTGTGGGTAATAATTAGTTAACGTTAAGAGTAAATTATTACATTTTATATTATATACAATGACTTTTCAAGTGTAATTTGTTTTGGCAAAAATAAAATTAACCTACCGTACCTTGTACTAGTAAAATAAATTACAATATCATGAAATATACTAAATTACCAAGTAATATCATAGGTAGACAGAACGTTAGGTTCAGAATCGTCAGAATCGTTTTTTGTATACAATAATTTTATATTATAATTGAATTCAAATTGAATACCATACATTTCAGTGACCCACTTGTAACCTGTTGTACAGCAGAACGACATCCCGCTTTTTTAAGATGTTTTTACTTTTGAACTAGTAATTTATTACAACTTTTTAGTTGTAAAAACTTAAAAAGTTAAAACAATAAAAATAGTAAAAATACATTTGTTTAAAAAATTATTTTATTATTTTTAATAACATTAAATTATGTAAAAGAAATATATTAAAAATATTCGTTTTTGAAATTATATGAGTGGTTCATGATAAAATAATCACTTGGCATTTTACCTACTTAATTATAATAAAATATAACTAATGTATTAATTGTTCTATAGTTAATTTTTTCATAATATACCATTGATAATATCTACAAATACTTCATATTGACAATACATATTCAATAGGTACTTTTTTTTTTGTATCAATAAGCAGAAATAATTTTATCATTGAAAATTATAATATAATATTATGTACAATTAGGTACAATTAGGTACCTATACCTAAATATATTATAAATGTGGTATATAGATTTTTTTCAGTATATACAATTTTTATTATTTGCATATTTGTAATAATTCACTGACAATGGTTTTAGTGTGTGATGGGGTACTATTTGAATCTAAAAATAAATAATCAGTTCCTACTAGCTAATAGTTGCCTTAAAAATCTAAGTAAGGTCAAAAAAATAGTCAAAACATTAACAATTATGCTAAGTTCTCAGCTTCAAATTGGTCCATACATATATCCAGTAAACATTTTAGAACAGTTTGGTAAGTTACATTTTTTAAAACTTTTATTCAATATAATAAATGTATACAACATATAATAACATATGTAATATAATTATAAGGTGAAAATAGCTGTTATATTATACTTTTTTAAATTAAAAAAATTAATAATTAACTGCTGCTAAAGAAATTGCAATCTATATATCTTTGAGAACTGATCTACAAAATGAATTAGATAATAATAGTGATATTTCAATATTTGTTAAAAAAAAAATTTTAATAATTCTAGTGAGTGGAAGAAGATTGTATTTTGATGATATATAAAGCATTTAGCTTCTAGCCCAATTCCATGTGTCTCATTTCAGTCATTTGTAATGGTAAGATTGGAGGTATATTATTCTGTTTTTCACTTTTAATTTGTTGTCAGGCCCAGGTAGTTGCATACTTTTTAAATTTCGTTGTCTACAGACTACTCAAGTGATAATTATTTTTAAAAGGCATGCAAACATTTTGGCACAAGCACCTACTTAAAAATCTTAAACGATGTCCTGTTTAATTACAATATTAATAGAAAAATAGATGGATAAAAGGAAATAATTAGTATATATACCGTCCAGTAATGATAAAGTTATAATGATCAGTCTCTAACACACACGAGCACAGCCATTCTCAATAGGTATATAATATTGCCTATATTCAACCCCTTATAAACGATCCGCTTTCAACAGCCTTACCAGAATCGATAAGATGTTAGATGTTAGATGTTATTTTCGACGTTCTTTAATATCATCCAAGTTCAAGTTACTTTTCAATGTTAAACACAAAATGATTTCAAATGATTTCCCTGTTAAAGATGTTGAGGCCCTATTACAGTTGGATGAAATTTTAAAAAATATCAAGACTGAAGAGTATACGACAAATTGGTAATAAAACAAAATACATTTTATATACTAATAATATAAACTATTTTATTTTATTTTCGACAAATCTAATTTCTTCTATGATGGCTCTAGTGCTCACAACTGTATTAAGCGTGTTATCAAAAATATTAACAAATGAACTTGCTTCTAAATGCTCATGGATGGTTAGGAAGTATAACTTACGCCTGGACAATTTGATTATAATACAAACTATGAAAAGTAATAAGTCGTTATACTTAAATATTTTATCATTTTTTTTTTAAATTCTAATATATATATATATACATTTTATTTAGTCTTAAGGATGTTCTATAGAAAATAAATAGGTCACTATAGCAGACACTTTATTTTAATTTTAAATAGCCATTAATTCTCGCTTTGAATTTAAAACAAATCAACTAATTTAAGAATACATCAATCTGAAAATTTTTTAAACAAATAATACAGTTTTTTTATTTTATGCACTTTATTAGGGATAGCATCTCCAAATGTATTTTTTATACATCAACATTGATCATTTTTTAAATAATGATTTTCCTACACATGGCTTTGTAAGAATAACGAAAACACCTTTGAAAGTTTGAAATGCATTAAATAATGGTTCAGGTGTGGGGCCCAGTACTTAAAGAGAGCTGTTATCGTAAATATGTGCATGTTAAAATATATTACAAAAATTATCAACAGTTAATAAACTGTTTGTTTTTGTGGTATCGACAATTTCTGATACATGCAGTAGTCATGTTAAAGTAATTTTAGGTTATGTTCATAATATAAAACCATAGGTTAGGTAGGCTAATACATCGAAAAATAATACTAATAAACTGTTGAAAATGTTGAGATCAGAGGAATTAGATTTACCCATTGATGTTTTTTTTTACTTTTATTAAAAAAAAGTTTAGAGAAAACTTAAATTAATTTTTATGCGTGTTTGAAGTTGAATTTTTTTCGGCATTATATCACAAATAAATATATTGATATGTATTTGATATTCAGTTTAAGTACGTGTTTGTATATTTGTTAATTAATATACATACAGTGTTTTGTCGATAGTCGAAAATCGAACTATTAGTTTATATATTTCTATGATAGATTCTCTACATCGAGATATCAAAAAATAATTAGTGCGCAATGTTAGTATATAAGATTTATTAGATATTTTTTGTGTGGTATCTGCTGTACTTAATATAATTAAAATGTATTTGTTTTTTTAAAATGTTTATCCTAAATAACATATTTGCAGTAATGTGATTGAACAAAATATCAAAGTATTTACCATACTCATGCTGAATGTTTGGACAGCCAATCCTAACATTCTTTTAATTGTTACTAATATGTGTAGAACGAATTTTAGTTCCTGTATATAAACCCAAAATTATCTTGATGATGTATAAAATCCTCATAGTATTTCTATTGTATGTTTGTATCGCTTTGTCATTTCCATCATATATTGTTTGCCAATCGCCCAAAGTATTTCTGTACAATATGTGCTGTGTTAAGTAATACAGGGTGGTCCAACCACGAAAACCGATTCTGAGTGAAGACTGTCTGTAACCTATATTATAGTATAGTATATAAGGCACTAAGTATATTTTGTGATATTTGTACTATTAAAATAATTTATATTACTATAAGTAATGTAGTAAGTAAGTTGACTTTATTTTTTGTTGAAAAATTTGAATTTTATTGTGTGTATGCACTATAATAAAATATGTACTTTGAAATTCAAATACCCCAAATAATAATTTTAAACTAGGTACAACAAAACAATTAATTTTATTACTCTCCAATTAAATATTTAATGCTTTAAACATTTTAACTTAAATAAAATATACTTACATAATATGATAAATCTTGTTTAAATGTTTGGCCCTTATAGCTATTATAAAATTGAAGTTATTAGAGATTTTTTACTACAGTTCATTAATTTGTATGGATTTTTGATCCTAAATAGAAAATAATTAAATAAACATTCGGTGAAAATTTAGGGTATCTAAGTTTTATTTAAAAATTTGCATTTTTCATTAATTTTTTTTCTCCTGACAAATATTACTGTTCATTTTTAATTTTGACCACTTAAATGTACCATCTAGATTTAATTTCCCACCAGAAAAGATATTGAAGTTGAAGATCAAATTGTTGTTTTTACTAGAATAAATTTTAACAGACGGAAAAAAACCATTCATTGCTCTGCTCAGAATCTAAAAATACAGATCACTGTAAAATTAACACATTCATAGCTCATTTCATAATCTAATATGGTTAAAAATAAGGATCAATTTTAAAATTGTCCAATTAAAATTATTAATGATAATAATAATGCAACTAATATATTTTTAATTAGAGTTATGAAATTTTATTGTCTTAATATAATATGCATATTTTGTATGTCTAATTTATATCATAGTACATTTAATCATTATGTCTGAATTAAATAACAAAATGCTAAATCTACATTTTCGCTTTTATTTCAGTCAACAAATAGAACCATAGATTTCACTGCATCTATAATAGATTGGATATTACAAAAGTATCTTCGTGATAAAATTTAAAAATACTATAAGAAGACAAACTGGATTTACTGCATATCATTGATTTTAAATCCAAGACACAAAGCAAAAACTTTTGATTTAACGTTTTGGGGAGTAGAGATAAAAAAATGAGCATGCAGAAATTTGGAGTAATCTACACAACATACCATGACCAAAAGTCAATGTTGAGTTACCAGAAATAGAAAGTCAAGACACTATAAATAATGATGAAGACACTATAGATTTTAATATTCATCATATGGAGATTCAATTCCGGTTAGTTACACAAATTCACATAAATTGTGTGCAAGAACTAGAAACATACTTAAGTCAGCTGAGGAGTATAACCAGTGAAGATATTATACTACAGTGTCGGAAGCTAAACCAAGTTCACTTCAATGTATTAGCTAATATTGCAAGAGATTTTTCATCAATTTAAGCCACTTCTGTTCCTACAGAGAAACTTTTTTCTAAAGGGTCTCTAGTCATTCGTAATATTTTTATTTAATGATGTAAAAATGCACTTTATCTAAAGTACAATATTACTACTTATTTTAGTTGATTTTATGATAATTAAAAACTTATTGTAAAAATAAAGTGTACCAAATAAGATTTACAGAAATGGTCTATTACAAATATATTATATTAAAAGAAACTTAAAAATTTAGTAATACCGTACTATACATTGTTGAATAAAAGCTTAATAATTATTATTATAACAAATATAATTATTAAGAAACTCAATTTAATTTATTTTGACTTAAAATGAAAGTTTTTTACCAAACCAAAAATTATCTTAAATATTTTAAACCAAACTTGACTATAATAGTTTAATTATAATATTAATACTTTTTTATATGAACTATTTTTGATTATTGAAAATTATTTTAACAGATGTGCAATGTAAACTAATTATGAATTGACGATTTAATTCAGAAATAATCAGTAGAGAAGTAGCGATTAGCTAAATAAAACTAATAATTAATGAGAACATTATTACAATGCTCTCTGTTTATTTATTATTATTTATTTCTATTAAGTGTCGAGTGGTATTCAAATTTACGTGTGAACAGTATACGTCACTTCACAATTCAACATTCAATTTCAAGCAGTGTCATGCAACTCACTGCTGTGACATTAGTATCCCAGTGTAAACTAGCATTAACGGCGGCTGTCGATGTACGCCCCCGTTCTCGATACTATCGAGTCCATCGTGAAATATAAATCCAGTGAATCGGCCATCGGGTTGTACGTGCCCAGACCGACAATGTTTCGCAATATTTGCTGGCCATCTGAGAAATATGTGACGCACAGGAATACCAGTTGTACATGTACCACCAGCACCAGAAGCAACGTATCGACGGCTCCTTTGCTGCCAGAATTAAACCAATTGTGGCACGCACTTGTCACCAGTCCGTACACCAGTGAACACCGTTTCCAAGTGAGCACATCGGTGAACACCAGCCTTTGATATGTATTTGTCGGGGTCATCTATGTGCGTGATGTCATCACATCAATATCATATAAAATATAGGTTATGTAATGATATGACAATAAAGAAGATTGAATTATTTACAACAATAATAGGAAAATTTGTGTTTTTTTGAAGGCACCCATTTTTTTTTTGTTTCTACGTATGCAGTTAAGCATGTTGGAGACGATGGCGCAATTAGAATTTTGAGGTCGAACTTAGTTTAAAAGTTTGAGCTAATTAAAATGTACAGTATTTTCATATACACCTGGCAAGCGTCATAATTACTCGCTCAGTCACTCGCTGTGATCGCTCGGACAATTCAATTCGAAAACATCCTTCGCCTTGTTATGTAAAACCACTTCGAGTCCGGACTTCAAATAACTATAACTTCAAAACTAGGCCCAACCACCAAATTCTGACTTCACAGTCGTTTTCAGCATATTTAACTATATACGTTGAAACAAACAAACGGTGTCTATTAAACAAAAGTATACCCAATAATATACCTATCTATTATGTTTAATGTTTATACACTCAAATTCCATGCTTTGGATCAAGAGTAGGAGCGGGAGAGATGTACATGTAACTATTTTCTCATTTAATATTTCAAACTATGTTTTTAGAAAATTATTAAAAACCTACGTAATTTAATAAAAAAGAGTTTAATTTCTTTAATAACGATGATATTTTTAAATTATATAAGACTATAAATATAATTATCTTTTATTTGTAATATACTAATATGTATTACTATAATACTTTATTGACAACACATAGCGTATAATACCATAGCTGTTAAGTATAAAAACATATTAATATGACTGTCTCTTAAATTATTTAAACGAAACCTGTTTGACCGAAAAACGAGTCTGTAACCTCCTACCCTCACCATAACGAAATAAGTAAATTATCTATCAAATATAATTCGAGGCCTCACCAATATGAGTGTAGTCAGGCAGAGCAACAGTAACATAGCGACGTGTATCGTCGTCTTTTCGTATTTTTCGTAGCACATGGCTTCTGACGTGGCTATCAGAACCAAGTGGCTCACAAACAACATCGCTTTGTAGAAGCAGTTGGACCTTGACCAAAATAGATGATACTTGATGACGAACGCGGCTACGTTCAAAGTTACTTTGGATGTCAGGTAGTACCGTGAAGTTAAGTCTACAATACGGGTGGACAGGATCAGTCTTTCGAACGCTAACAGCAAATGCCAACACAAAGTAAAATTGATTGCATAGGGCGCCGCGTACATGGCGAATGACCAGCCGTTGGCCGTCACCAACCGAATGGCGCGTGGATGTCTGGCCATTAAGAAATATAAGAGTACGGTTATTCCGGCTACCATTGACATGCATACCAAAAGCTCCCCTGCTAACAGTATGGTTCTGGACGCCAAGGTTGCGCCATCGGTAATGTTATTCATGTTAAAACAATTTTTTTAATTTAAAAATTTTATAGCATGGTTATATACTTTTTATAAATAAATAAATAATAATATATTATAAATTTATACATCCTGGCGTGTAAACAAGTTAAGAAAACCAATGGTGACAGACTTCATCGCATTGCAGCAGATGATACTAATGTATCTATAAGTGTCAAAGTTGTATTCAGTTTTTAATTTTTAGACATGATATCCTTATCATTAGTAGAATGGAATACAATTCTGACACAGTAAGTAGTAACCTTCCCATGCTAAAGTAGTGCTCCTAGATAACATGCGCATCACGTTATTACAATATATCCCCATAAAAATACTCAAACGTAATTATAAAAATTATAAATTTAGAATTTTGTTTGTCATATCAAAAAAATAGGCACATGTTTTAAATTTTGTAATTTTATAATCTTTAATATTAAAATTAAATAATACTTTATAAATAGTTAGTAAATAAATACTTAAATAATAATAATTCTGATTGTGTCCTGCATGATGCTTAGAAAGACAAAGTATGTATAATTTAAAAAAATTCATGTGTAATACATTTTTTTCATACATTTTTATGTTCTTCTATTTGTCCAATTTTGGATTTAGAAAGGGGACAAGTTGATGGATCCAACATCTTAGAAAAATCGATCAATCAAAAAATTATACACAAAATAGGGGTTTCCATTAAAAAAAAGATAAATGCCCGTATGCATAGTCCACTGTTAAGGGTTACCTAAAATTGCTTAGGTGTTACCTAGCTACGGGGCATGTAGCCAATACTTAGCGAGCCCGTAAATTTGAATTGCATAGTCCAAATTTAAGTAACCCCTAGTTAGGTAATACTTAAATAAGTAATCCTTAAAATTACGTTTTTATTCCATGATATTTTATGTTATCAGTTGAGTTATCACTTATCAGTGGTTAATTATTATATTCGTTGGAATTTTCATTTTTAAATTGTCAATTTGTCATTAAAAATTTGTTAATAAACGCAGTTATAACATAACTTTAGTTCAAAATGAAAAGTGTTAAAAGAGAAAGAGGGCCAAACTGGGATACACAGGAAAAAGAAATATTTTTCCACTGTGTATCCAAATTCAAACATGTTATAGAAGATCCAAAAAAGGATTTTAATTCGAACCAAAAAAAACATGAAGCGTGGGAAAAAGTGACAAATGATTTCAATTCACATGCTCAAGTCCAAAAGGTAAGTCATAATATATACTAAACAGATACAAATTAGAATTTTTAGGTATTTATTTTATAAAATATACTAGGTAGCATGATTATGTTGTAAAATGTTGTTATAATTAATGCTTATAGAGAGAGGTTAAGAATTTAAAAAAACTGTGGGAAACAGAAAAAGCAAAGTCCAGGAAAACGTTCACTTCCGAAAGATATAGCCGTTTGAAAACTGGGGGAGGTTCATATGAAGCAACACCTGATAGTGTTCAAAATCCCGAGGTGGAGGAGCTCATTGGAAAACCACATATTGTCGAGTGGACTAATAATTATGATAGTGATGGTGTGGCATTCAGTAAGCTATGCCTTATTTTAAATATAATTATTAACATTTTTTAAATTTATTTTTATGTTTTTGAACTTAGATAATATTTTAGTCAGCTCAAATCTTATGGACAATTCAAATATTATTGACAGTTCGGGTAATGTTAATTTGGAAATCATCAATATCGAGACACCCATACTGATTTCCGGTACCTATTGGTTATTGCATTGATCATATTATGTAAATATTAAATTAATAGATAAGTTTATTATTTATTTGTTTAGAAGAATTATCTGCTGAAATAGCATCTAATGAAACAAATCCAGCTATTATGATAGATATGACTAAAACATCAATTAAAGAATGCCATACAAAACCAGTACAACCAGGTTTGCATACGATCCTAATTTATGGAATTTACTTACCTAATTTACTTTCTACCATCTATACTATACTAATAGGTGCCAATAGGTATAATTAATTTTGTGTTTATTTAAACAAAACTATTTTGTGTTTTAGAAAAAAGAAACAATATAGAAATCACTGCAAGCAAATCCACCAAAAAAGATGGCATCTTAAAGGAATGTGAGCTGCGGGTAAAAAGGCAAAAAATGGCAATCGAATCGGAAGAAAAAATGAATAAGTTACAGGTATGTAATATAAAAAAAAACATATTTTAAAAAAGATGAGATACGATACAATGGAATACAGTTATTATTGATTATGCATAATTTAAAATATAAGTTATTACTAGGCTCCAGATTTTTATGTTTTTACATATTATTACTGAATGTGTGCAGTTTTATAAGAAAGGTATTTACAGTTGACAATTTAAATTTATATAGTTAGAATTATATAGTTTTAATGATAGTTTGAAAAAAAATTGAATAGAGCATATTTTGATGATCATAAAATATTTGTATTTTTTATGGTAAATATTAGAATCACATTTCAGTTTTAAATTATCCTAAAAATCTGGGCACTAGTTATTACAAAAGAACTTGATTAATGTGGTAATTTAATTACGAGTATTAAAGGTATACAGTGTACTAGCTGATTAGTTAGCTAACAAATTAATAATGTTCAAAATAGATCTCATTATTGTTATTCTAAATACATTTCCTAATTTTCAACTGCCTAGATTTTAAATCAGAAACTAATAATGCAGTCTGTAGTGGCTAAGCGCTTTGAGGAACATAAATTGTTCAAGTTACAATGTGAAAAAGTTGCTCTAGAAATTAAGAAAATTAAAGAAAATCTTGTTTAAGTACCTACCTATATATTTTGTTTTTTATGCTTATTGTTATTTAGTTAAGTTAAAAAGCTTATAGTCATATATATCTTTATCACACATACCTAAGTGAATACCTATGTTTTTGTTACTTTTATAAATTAGTTGTTTTGTTTGTTTATTATATTATATATATTATATATATTATTATATTACCTTTTTTTAAATTAAAATTCTTTAATACTTATATGTATTTTTTAAATATAATAAATAATGTGATGTTATAGTAAATTGGATTAAGTTTTTGTTACTTTTATGAATAAATAAATGCATAAATACCATGGAGAAATATAATGGTTTATTATTATTTTTTAACTGAAATGCCTTATGATATAAGCTTGTCTTGCTGCAGGTCCTAGTATACTGTGGTCAATTTCTCCAGCAACTTCACCATCTTCCTCTTCTAAGTCTTCCTCTTCTTCATCACTGTCTGTAGTATATTGATTATATTTTCGAGAGATGTTGTGAAGTAATGCACAAGAAAGAATAATATTTACAGTTGTACCAGGTGCATTAGCAAGACATCTTCTCAAACAAGGAAATTTTCTTTTCCATATTCCAAATGTCCGTTCTATTATATTTCTTGTTCTAATCTGACATTTATTATACTTTCGCTCTGATGGTGTTACAGGGGTTCTTAAAGGTGTAAACAAATAAGGTTTACATGGATAACCTATTGAAAGGAAATTAGAAATATTTATTGTATAAATAATCAAATTTAATAGTTAAAAAAAAAAAATTAATTACAATCAAAAATATCTCATGACTATAATTAGCATAACTTTTGAGAGGTAGAAAAACTTATTAATTAATAACTGAAACAAAAATTCTCAAGGCTTTTACCTATACATTAAATATAAATTTAAATTATAAGTACATTAAATATATAAATATAATCATACCTCCATCTCCAAGCAATAACACATGGTCAATACTTTCAGAAAAGTATTTGTTTGCATGGCTTCCACTAAATATAAAGCTATCATGGTAGCTTCCTGGCCATCTTACAACTATATCTAAAAATTCCATCGATGGTACACAAACAGCCTAGTATACAGACATACAGTAAGTATAAAAAATAACTTTTAAATAAATAATTCTTTATACTTTCTCTGTGATTGGGTTTAAATCTCCTGTTTGATAACTGATAACTAATTAATGCATACCTGAACATTTAAAGAAAAATATCCTTTTCTGTTTCTGAACACTTCTGAATCAGGACCTCCAGGATTTTGTATTTTGATATGCGTACAATCTATGCATCCACCAATTCCCGGCATCTTGTACATTTGGTAAAATTTTTCTTTTATAATATTCCATTCATCTGCATTTCTAGGGAAATGTACATGATTTTCTACATTACTTGCCAACATTTCAGATATATTTTTAATTATTCTTGATACAGTTCCTTGGTTAATTCCTCTTAAGTCACCATTTACAATCTAAAATTTAAATTAACAAAACTTATTTTACAAACAACTGAATGGGACTTGAAATTGGTGCCTACTTGAAAGTTTGAAGATGCGTTAAACCGCAGTGTTGTTAAGAGTTGTAGAATAGGTGGGATGGGCAAACCACGATTATTATTGTGATGAATAGTAATTAATGGCATAATAATATCCATAACTACTTCTTTAGAAAACCTAAATTAAAAAATACATTATTATTCAATTTGTGTTTAATGTACCTACAGTTGAATCTATTAAAAAGGGTTTATTTCACCGTATAATTATTATAATGTAAAATATTTACAGTAGTACAATAAATAGTTCCTATAACAGATACCTACCTGTATCTTTTGTAAAATTGAAGATCAGAAAATAATTCTACAGGGTTTTCTTGATCCATGATGTACCTTTTAGGTGCATTATCTTCATCAGCAAACTGAGCAAAATCAATTAGTTCGAATATATCATCCATATTAACTATACTTTAGGTAGGACAATTTAATAAAAACAAAAACATAAATCGATGCAAATGGTAGAACGATAATTTTGTGAACAATTTTAACAAATTGATTACATCATTATTTTTATTTTGAAATGATTAAAAAAAAAAAAAATAGTTTACGGGCTCGTTAAGGGTGGTCTATCCACCACTTAACTTTAAGGAAACCTTAAGTGACAGCTATCCCGTAAGTATGACTGTGCAACGCAATTTTAAGGGACTGTGCTTAGGTGACACTTAAATTCATTTTAAGTAACACTTAAATGACTGTGCATACGGGCCAAAGTGTATTGTGCATGAATTAAAAGAAAATTGTAGGTCAAAGGAATTTATGATTTAATAGTCTAGTTTAATTTACAGCAAACATAATTTAAAAATATGAATAGGGTACTAGTTTATACACTTTAGTCTGTTTTAGCAGGCTTTCCACTCACTTACTGTTTTCACTATTTCTTGCTATTTTGATTATGTCTTACTTTTTATCACTATCCAAACAAATTATTCACTATCCTAACTTTTTACAAAGCAATGGTTGCAATGCCATAATGATATCCCATAATTTACCTTAGATGCATTAAATGATAATGAAATAAATCTAGGCTATGTCTGTTTTTATTCAAAAGTGACCTTACATTGTAGTATAATATATTATGTGCCATCAAATAGATTTATATAAAAAAATATTATGGTGCGCAACAGCGGTGTATGTGAATACAATACTTATAGTTTTGCAGAAGTTATTAATTGGTACCAATAGTTATGGATGATATGAGTATGTGACTTTATAATGAAGTTGCAACGACATTTAATGTGTGAAATTCTAAATTGGTTTATAAATATAACTAATATTAGTACATCATTTATATGAACAGGGTTTTCATGGAAAAACTTTTGATAGTTTATACAATTTTCAAAAATTAACATTACTTATATTATATATTATCGTACATGTATAATCTATACATAGTATATAAATATATACATCACATTATTATTAAGCAGTGCTTAATGTGGGGGATGTGGTGGACCTCTTTTTTTTTGAGTGCACCCCTTACATCTTTTTGAAATGGAACGTTGGGTACGCAATATTTACTAATGAATTAGAAAATTGTCAGTTTTTCGGACTCAAAATATAATAGCCATATTATATTTTGAGCGGAGCGATGAATGTATTGATTTTCAATGATATGTGTTTTTTTCTAGCTAGGAGGTAAGCCATTATATTAGGAACGCTTTTATACGACCCCTCAGTAGGGGTGTGTCTTTTGAGGCAAAAGAACTGGATGTTTAGAATTTTTATCCAATAGTCCATGTTTTAATCTTCCACCGACTCGAATGATTCTTTTTGGATCGACGAAGAGAGCTAGCTTGGCTATCGTTATCTGTGTTATAGATGCTTGATATTTTATTTGTGTATGTAGGTCCGGCAGATACGTCCTGACTTATATAAGATCGCCTTGTTCAGTGTATGATTGTATTCCATCCAAGAGATAGGATCACTACTCTTAGGAATATTTCGATGATGCGTGAAACGAAGATAGTACACTAACAAACGTTGAGTAATTCAGTTATAAAGTTATGCCATTTATTGATTTTTTCGGGTGAGGGTGGTGAGTCCCAGTCTAACTTTTCTACCCATAATTATTTCATAATATATTTTGCCCAAAGCGCCAACAGGATCATATTGATGGGCGATAGTTGAAAGTATTGAGCACTTGGTTTGATCGACTTTGCTGACGGTAGTATGATTACCAAGGACGGGTCCATTTCACGGTCTTCAACAGCAATACATTTTAATAATACTTCTCAATTACCCATTTCCTTAGATTGAACCTTCCTCTACGTAATAAAGATTTAACTTGTTGCAGAGGTTCCACCCCCTCTTTCTCGGTATCGGCACTTGCTACAATGCCGTCAACATACGTTGTTGTTACTAATGGGTTCCTTTGCTAAAGGGGATTCAGTTCCATTTTCTGAATTTAGTTGGTATAAACATCTGATTGCTAAAACGGAGCTGCATTGACACCATAAGTAGCAGTACATAATTCGTATTCTTGGACCTCTTCATTATGCAATTTTCTCCAAAGTTTATGTTGGGATACACAATGTGCGTCATTGACTTGGGGCTGCCTGTACATCTTCTCGATGTTGACAATACATAAATACTCGATAAAACGGCTTAGAAGTAGTATGTCAGTAATATCACTCTGCAATTTTGGACCGGTTGCCAAGCAGTCATTAAGTGACAACAAAGATGACGACTTGGCTGACGCATCAAAGACTACCCAAATTTTCATGTTACCGTTTTCCTGTTTAACTACAGCATGATGCGGGATAAAAAATATTCTTTCTTTATCAACTAAGCGCATATGATCGAGTGATAGATATTCATGAAACAGTGATACTCGAAATATAGTTCAGGGTCTTTCGTTAAACGACGTTCAATATTAAACCGGTGATTTACAAACATAGTACGCGAAGAACCAAGACCACTTGGCATATTCGAATCTAGATTTAAGTTACATTGAGCATTTATTGTAGACCTAAATGTCAGAGAAACGCAAAATCTACCTGATGTGTCCCGTGACACTGTCTTACAAATTCACTCCTCGCATCATTCATCCTAGGGGACATGGTAAGAGTCCGTTCGTGGCGTCCCCTGCATCGCGATATTGAGTCTACACCAGGACATATATCGCGAACTAATCTTACCTACACTGGTGCTGGAATGCCTAGGCGTTCAAACTCAAAACGGCCTTTTTCAGGGCCACCCCCACCAGTATTTAACGTGATTACACAAAACATAGAAGGTTTCTCAGCATTCAAAGGTGAACTTCTTGCAAACCTTTATGAAAAAGAGAAATGCGACGTGTTATGTGTTCAAGAGACGCACCAGGATGAGGTTATCACTCGTCCAAAAACACCGGGAATGATTCGAGTCATCGAGTTACCACATTCAAAATACGGAAGCGCTATATATTCCAAACCAGGACTCGTGGTCAAAAGCACAGCCACCTGTCACAGCAAAAATCGAAATACTATAACTATTGAGGTAGGAAACTGTACAATCATCTCACTGTATAAACCACCGAACACAAACTTCACTTTCGAAAAACCGAGTAACTTCACAATTCTGATACAAAAGTAGTTCTTGGTGATTTCAACAGCCATAGTACCACATGGGAATACCAAGAAAACGACCAAAATGGAGAAAACGTGGAAAACTGGGCTGAAGCTGAGGGGTTGTCTCTGATCCATAACCCAAAACTTCAATCGTCTTTCAATAGCGGCCGGTGAAAAAAAAGGTATAACCCAGACCTAATTTTTGTCAGTGACAAAATTAACGCACAAGCCGTAAAAAACGTATGTGATCCCATACCAAACACTAAACACCTAGGCCTAATACTAAGCGTCGCAGAAGTAGTGAGATCACAAACAATACCCTTTATAAGACGGTTCAACTTTAGAAAAGCAAAATGGGAAAAATTTAGAGAAACACTAGAAGAAATATATAATCTAGACCCAAAGCCAGAGAACTATGAGGCATTCGTAGAAAAAGTGAAAAAGATTTCTAGATCACATGTCCCACAAGGCTGCAGAGAACGATGTGTATGCGGAATGACCGAAGAAACCAGAAAAATAAAGGAGGAATATGAAAATCTTTTGCCACAGACCCGTTTAGCGAAGAAACAATTATGATAGGAGAAACGTTAACGAATCTTTTATGTAAAGATAGAAATGACAGATGGCATGAGCTTATAGATAACACAGATATGACAAAAAGTTGTCGCTATAAAGCTTTGGTACCTAAAACATGGAGGAAAGCAAAGGTAGTGGCTCTGCCCAAACCAGGCAAAGATTACAAGGACCCTAAAAGCTACAGATCTATATCTGTACTCTGCCATACATTTAAATTGTATGGACGAATGATTATGAACCGTATAAAAGTACAAGTAGAAAGAAAACTTATCGTCGAACAAGCCAGTTTTAGGCCGCGTAAAATAATCCTGCACAGAACAGGTACTAAACTTATGTCAGCACATTGAGGATGGTTATGAGAACAAAAAAGTTACAGAGGGGGTTCTTGTTATTAAATCATTTCAATTTAATTTTGAGGAATTAATTAACATCAATTAGACGTAAATGTTAATTTACTAAGAAAAGATTTATTAGATAGTTTTAAGATATTTTTTACCCAAATAAATAATTGAAATTATTAAAATTATAAAAATTGTGTTAATTAGTTTAATCTTTTCTTAGTAAATTAAAGATATACGTCTAATAGATGTTAATTAATTTCTCAAAATTAAATTGAAATGACTTAATAATGTCTGCAAGCCTACGGACACAACAAAATGCTTGAAATTTCATAATAATTCATAAAATTCTAGTATGATTATTGAATCATTCATGAATGGAATATTTCAGAAAAAGTCTTAGCCGTGGTTACTGACAAATATTCTCAATTCTATTCCGTTAATTTCATCAACAAACGAAAAACAATTTTTAGTATTAAATGCGCAGCACATGCCTTATAATTAGATGTAAATTATTGCTTGAAAAACGAAAGTATTAGTTGTATAATCATCAATGTAATACAGTTGTTGGACACTTTAAGCATTCAACATTAGCTATTCAATGAGTAAATTGGCTAATCAAAAACACTTCTTCAAAGTTATCAAACGCGGTGGAATTCAGTATGCATTATGTTAGACCGTCTTTACTTAAATAGATGTGTTATTTTTAATTTACTAGCAAATAAACATATTATGAATCGAACAATAGCTGAACAATTAGAAATAAAAGAAATTGAATGAATATTGATTCACTTATAAAAGTTCTTAAGCCTATTAATTAATTCAACCACAACTGTTTTGTGAGCTGAAAAACATTCTCCAATTTCAATGATAAGACTAATAATAAAAAAAAATATGGAAAAACACTTATTACGTAGAGGTGATGAAGATACTGTCATTCAGAATTAAAAAAAAACAATAGTGTTAAAACTAGAACGCCGATCTTCTCTCGACTGGAGTCCAACAGAACAAATATTACCTGAAAAGATTGCATCTTTCCTTGACCCTCGATACAAAGATTAGAAGCACGAGACATTATCCGCGAGTGAGTAAAAAAAATGTGAAGTATGAACGATAAAATAAATTTGGATGATAAGACACTGAATAATTCAGATGATCAGCAAAAATGCCATCGAAGTGTCCTGGAATATATTTATGGCACTGAATAAAATGATGATGATGTGATAAGACAGTTTGAAAACTATTTAGCAGAACCACAATTAGGGTTCACACTGGATTACAAAGAAAACTAGGTTTTCTAAATATCCTGTGATTAGCGACCTTGCAAAAAACTATTTAACAATTCCTGCAACTTCAGTTAGTTCAGAAAGATGTTTTTCGACGGCTGGCAACACCGTTATTCGTAAAAGAGCATCTTTATCACCTGAAAACGTCAATATGCTTATTTTTTACATCAGAAGAAACATTTATTGAATAAAAAATATTAATTATTTAATTTTTATTTAAAAGGTATTGGTATAATTGATTGTTTTTGATTTGTGATACAATTGATTATTTTGTTAAAAATGTACCCAATTATTTATTTTTTAATTTTAAGTTAAGTTTAAAATTATATATTTTTTTCATGATCTATTTATTCAAAATAACTCTTCTTATTTGTTTATACTTGAGTGATCTAATATTTATACCCAATTTGTACTATATTTTTTTTATATATTAGTTACAATTATGTTATATTATTGACATTGACTCTTGTTTTTCCGTTTATTACTTAATAAATTACTCTCATTTTACTTTCATATAACTCATACCACTAAATACTTTTTTATTAAACTGTACCATTGATTATATAATACACAGATAAAAAATTCCATAAGAATATTCGTTGACAATTAATATCTGGCAGCCACTACGGAGCGCTGTCGGCAACGGCTGACAGACGTTAGAAGCGCTGTCGGCATTCGATAACCGCTGACAGTCGTTTTCGTTACTTCAAATATTTACAGAATCAGCGTATAATATTATGTTTATTGTTTAAACCACGGACTAACCGACTAAAGGATTAATGAAGTCCATTCTAACTTAGCCAGTGTTATCAGTGGCGGTTTTTAGGGGGGGGGGCG